TGTGTTACATCTTAATATATTGTGTATAATACAAGAAAAACATGGGGCACTTTTTTTCTAGATTTGAGTTGCAACCCTGCTAATTTTAATGCTGTTTATTGTAACTCACGAACTATGTTAGATATAGGAACTCTTAATTTGAGCAACTGTGATTAATAGTAGTACCAATTATTGTGTAGAAATTACTTTTTTACTTGGTTTTTTAGTTAAAGTTCTTTTCCATTATTATAAATGAGTATCATTTTTAATTAGGCACACAGGCCATAAAAATGAGAGGTAAAGGATAGAAAGTTTCCTCAATGACACAAATTCTCACGCAGTTTCTGGATCTGAAGATGGTTGTGTTTACATGAGGGACCTAATTGAAGTCAGTATTATTAGTCATTATTATGACAACTTTTTATCAGAAAACATGACTATAATTATTATTAAGAGCTCCAAAAATGACCAACAATTTGAAAAGTGAGTTGAAGTAAAACAAATGTAGAATTGCTGCAGTCCACTTAGAAAAAAACACACACACAGTGTTAATACTCACCAAATTCACAATTTATTTTTAAAAAAAAACATAAACAGATGGTGTTGATGATTGCTAAAACTGTAAAACATTGCTTTCTACTACATATCAGGTCATTCTGATGATTTTGTCCTCAGATAGTTACTGCAAATTGAGAGTATTTGGAAAACATTACTTTATAATTTGTTTCCATTGCAATATGTGAAGAAAAGTTCTGTTACTTGTTGAAAAGTGTGCATGTATCACTTTTTATTATTCTTTTTTAAAAAAGTTTTTAGTCATTTTTAAGTCACTCAGTATTAATGCAATATTGCATATTTCTGAGGTTATACTTTAAAAAATTTAATCATAAAAGAGATATAACTGACAATTATTATATTTTAATGCTGGACAAATATTTTGTAAATTGGTGGAAATCATTAATTTTTTAAACTTTACTAATATTTTTTTATTTCATTTTTTTTAAATATTTTTATTTATTCTGTTTTGTAATCCCTGAAAATTGTCTTTCTGATAAAGGTGTTCCAATAAAATACCGAAATGCTTCTAGGTTTTAATAAAAATTTTACTATTTGTGATTTTTAAATATTTTGAATCAATTTTAATTTTATTTATTCAATTTCAATTTAAGAACTACTCTTATTATTTTAAAATACAATTGAGTATAATTTCATTAAAATTTATATATTTGCATAATTTTTTACCACAAAAATGTATAATTATCTCCGGATAGGCTTTTGAGTCATTTAAGAAAGTGAAACACGGTCTTGTATCTTGTTCTTGAAATTTTGATGTAACATTTTAATAATGACAAGTTATATGCCTAGTCCATGCAATGAAGGCACACCTAAGTTTTATGGTCCCAGGAAACAATCTTGCAATGTTATATTGACATTTTTGTCTGCACTTTTTGATTGTGATACTGCAGGCAAGGTTGCTTTTTATTATATTTTCTCAGTTTGCAGGCTGCCACCAACTATAGAAGATTGTGTTGGTGTCAAATGAAGCCACTAGGCTTTTTCAAGTTTTTATCAATAATTTAATTGGCTTTATTTTAATTTTTTTCTTCATTATAGTCTTAGAGAAAGTCTTGCTGCATGGATAAACATCATTAGTTTATTATATTTGTGTTAATTTAACTCAATTTAAAAAAAAAACAATGATTTTAAACTGTTTATAACAAGGCTCACTCACTAAGAATATAGTATTTAAAATATATATTTATAAATAATCCTCCATAATTTCATTGAATAGTAATTGTAAAAATATTATTTATTGTATCTTATTTTAACAACAGTTTAAATTTTAGTATGAATTAGTATATAACATTATAATGAGAATACTTTCGTCAGGGTTGCCACAGCATCTGGAAAACCGGAACAATACAGGGAATTAAAAAAGTCTTAAAAAACGGGAAAACTGCTGAGAATTTCCAAATTTTTTAAACGTCAACAAAAATAAAGTATGTAATTATATCTTGCACTACAAAAAATAAACACAAATGTTAAACTAGTCCTTTTCAGTGTATGATTAAAAAAACCTATTGTTTTCTCTAGTTATTTAGTTTAGTTAAAGTTTGTTAATCAGGACTTACCTGGTTCTTGCACCTCTATTGATCACATTGTTTTTAGTCATTCAAGATTTATTATGGATGCATTTTATGTGAAATTAATAAAATAATATTAAGGATAATAAATTTCTACCTAGACTATTTTAAATATTTAATATTTTTTTACAATTGACACTCTTTGGCATTTAAATTAGAAATCAAATTAAAAAAATCTTCCTTGTAAGGAGTAAAATAATTACTTTTAAATTTTGTGAAAAAATTACTTTTTTACATTATTTTAAAATGTTGTAATTCTATTTCTAAGACTGATATTCAGAAGGGTCCCATAGTGTGTATGTATTCATTTAATGTGATTAGACATTTGCATTTTGTAAATTTTCCTTAAATATAATGAATAACTTGTGTAAATTTTATAGGAATGCAAACAGGGATACTATAGACATTGAATGGTAAATGTCTGCATTTTTAAGTATTATTGTTTGTTTGTAGGTATTATTTTAAGGTTTTGTTGTCTTAATAAAAATTATTTTAAATTTAAAGTATTTTTTTATCGAAATTTTGATAAAATTTTCATTGTTAAAACTTGTTTGAAATAACATAAATAAAGTTTACTTTTTTTTTTCTTCTTTGAAAATATAATTTATAATTTTGCTATTCTGGTTATTGTGATTTCCTGTGTTTGTTTTTTTAATAGTTGGAATCCAAATATTTATTTTTAATTTAAATGCAACTTGATTTTATTGCNTAATAGTTTGTAAGTTTTATTATTATTATTATTGTTTTATTTTTATTTATTTATTTATTTCTGTTTTATCTGTTATACTTATTTTTGAAGTTTCTGAACTCTTTATGCAAAAGTTTTCTATAAAATATTTTATTTTTTAAATATGTTGACGGTGAAAAATAAAAACAGTCGCTTTAAATTTTTGTTCATACCTGGTTTTATTTATTGCTTTTGTGTGTTTCAGTAATACTGAACATTTTTGAACCGAGGGACTTTGTCCCTTGTTATATTTCATGTCTAAAGTAAAAGTACATGAAAAAAATTTCTCAATGCTGTAATTTTTTGATGAAAGAAAACATTTGCAATATAGCATTAGAATTGCATATAGAAAAAGGATTTTTTGTAAAAGAATGTCAATTCAAACTGTTTAGAGCATAATATCAATTTTAACTGTAAACAAAATTTTCTACTTTAATCATTTCTTAACTGTTATTTTTTAATGGAATTTGAAATACAGCTTTTATATGTTTTTACTTGTATGCCAAAGCTCTTAATTTTAAAATTAGACCTTTCTTAACCTGAGTGCAAGGATAGTAAAAAATTTTAAAACCCTGAACTTAAAATATGGTATACAAATTATATATAGTTAAATAGTTTTTTATTGTATTTCATATGATTTTAAATTTTGTTATTTTTTAAGACATAGCATTAAGTCTAAAATTTTACACTTTTTATTGTTTTTAAAATTTTATTAAATTTTAAGAAATATGATACATTATATCATTTTTTAAATATGATTTTTGAAATTATTTTACAGTTATTCAATATTAATATATAAAATAAGATGAGAAACTGTGACTTATAATATACTGGGTTATGGTCTTTCAAAATCTTTTCAACTAGTCCGCAACTTTTGCATTGAATTTAAGCAGCACAATCCTCATTAGATAGATATTATTAATTAGTAGAAATTTTTCATTCTAATGCCTTACATCTTTTAGTTACAAATAAAATGTTGTATGTTAATATCAGCATGATATTATTTGTTTCCAAGGCTAAACACATCTTGGGGCAAGAAAAGAGACAGAAATAATTGTCCCATCGCTACTGAGGGCTCAAATGGAATTGCTGTATGAAGTTTTTATTTATAGTTAAAAAACACATAGAATTTCTTAAAAAATTGCTTAAATTTTTTTAAAAAATGCAAAAAAAAAAACTTTTTATCATTGGGTAGTTTTACAGTGACTGATATAAATTTTTGCTGAAGTTTTTTATTTTTTAAACTATTTTTTCATTGATAAATACTTTTTTCTAAATTATCTGAGATGCTTCCTTCTCTCCTCACTTAATTTGCCTTCTATAAGCAATAATGAGATTATTTTTTTAAATTTATTTTAAAAAAATTTCAAATTAGCTAGAAATATTGAATTGACTTATTATAAAATTGTAGAGAAAGTGGCAAATCGAGAAAAGCTCGGTGACTAATGTTACGGATTACTGACAGATAATATTCAGATATTAAAATTTTAATTATTATTATTACAAAATTTTTAAATTTTTTTTTAATTTCATATCCAAAGTAAATAAAAGCTACGAAATTCGTTAATGGAGAGATTTTATTAAATGTTTTTCTTTTTAATTATGTTGTCCTTTGTATCACAGACTTGCTCATAAGGTAGTAATTACCAACAATAAAAGAATAAAGTAAGATGAGTACATAAACAGTTATAAAACAATGATGAGTTATAAAACAATTATTAATTTATATGCTGTACGTTACTGGAGATTAATATTTTACAAATCAAAATCCATAAAGTACCTTTTTGATTAATGTTATAACAGGAAGCTTAAAAATTATAAAAATTAAACCCTTTGTGTTTTGAAGAAACCCGAAATTTTTTTTTTTTTTGAGGGGGTTCACAAAACCTATGTTTAGTTTTGTCTGTAACTTAAATAAACTTTCAGGGTGTTTTAAAAAATCAATAAATAGGAATATGTTTAATTTCTTCAAATGAATAGAATTCAATGTCATATATGATTTTATATTTAAATGCATATTATACACTTAAAAATTTTCTTTACCTAACATTAAATCTGAGTTGATCTCACAGATCTGTGTTAGATTAACTTTATAATAGATAAAGCACAAAAATATTTCCCCCATATTTTTATAAGTATTGATTTGAGTGTCATTTTATTCATTAGTTTGTATTATAAATAAAATGTGTTATGGATTGTGCAAATGTGATACAACCAAAGCATTTTCTTTATCAGAATGTAAAAAGCAGAGTGTATTCTTGTCATTGATCATAAATAATTAAAAGTTATGGTCAGGGAAAAGTCTAAAATACAGCTTAATTTGAGAATTTTTTAAGGCTGTATTAAAGCATTTTAAATTATTTTAACAATTTTTTTGTGTAGACAGATTGAGATTGAAACATGCTACCTTTTTACTATTTTCTCTCTGAGTAGTATTTTGAAACGTAACTGATATGAAATGTAATATTTTTTTGATAGTTACACAAATGTAATGTTTTTTTTATTGTTTTATTTTATTTTTCTTAGCAAACACGAAAAAGAAATTTCCCTGCTTGGGTTACCAACACAGTAGCTGGGATTGAAAGAAGGCATCGAGAGAAGATGGAAATTTTTAACAAATACTTAAACTTTGTATCGAAAATTGAAAAATGATTTAACACTTATTTTAAAATCTTGCAACAGACTTCTCTCCTTGTAACGATTTCTGTGTTTAAATATTTTATTATTTTTAATTTGGTGCTTTTCAAAAACACTTTTTCATCAAACTTCTTAAAAAATTTAATACAAATATTTGTTATTCACCCGTATCAGTTTAAATATTAAAGCTATTAATAGAAATCTGGAAAAAAATTAATAAATATGATCTTTTCATCACTGCACGCAATTATATCTACAAAAAGGAGTGCTTTCTAATATTGTATCAATGTAGCTAAAGCAAAATATATCAATACAACAGTGTGAGGAGCACTTAAAAAACTAAAAAAAGCAATCCTTTTTGCAGACATAATCATCTGAGCTGATGAAGAAATATCTTCTTTTTCTCCAGATTTTTATTATTATATTTTTTTAATAATGTTAATAATTTTCTTTTTCTCTTTTTTCATTATTTTGTAATTTTTTTCATGTTTTGCCTTGTTGATTTGTATTGTATTTTGATCTTATTTTATGAGTTCTATATGCTTGCAGCTTATGCACAGTATTGAAACGTATTGATTTTCTTAATTTNACATGCAAAAACTACTGAGAATAATTAAATACATTTTAAAAATTCCTTTTAAAAAAATTAAATAGCAGGAAAACAAATTAAGTGATATATACTGCTTTTACCCTTATATGCTATAAAGTTATATATATTTAAACCAGATATCTGCAGCATTTTTGATTTTAAAACTTGTACTTTGTCTTTTACCAACTTAAAAATGAACCTTTAATTTAAGTAAAAAAATAAAAACTCTTTTAGAGCCACTCCTTGACTATAATTTGTTTTAACCTCCAACATTCTGAGCATTAATTTAAACAATTTTTTGTTACAACTTTTTTCATTCTAAGTTTACTTAATAATTTTTTCCATTCTTGCATTTGTATTTGTTAAACATTTAATGATTCACTATGTTCTATATTTTTCCTGTTCTTGTTGCTAATAAATTATAATTTTTAATAAAATTTTTGATTTTAATATGCATGGTTTTTCTTCATCTTTTTCATTTATTTTATTTAATTTTTTCTATATTTTTCATGGTCAATTGTGTTTGGAGGTTTTCTTAATACAAAATCACTGAAACAGTTTTTCGAAATAACCTTCGATTTTCTTTATTTAAATTAAATCACATTCAAACTCCAGCAAAACAATGTTCAAGTTACAATTAAATTTATTTAGGGGTATTTTCAGAACTAAAGATATATATTTAAAATATCATGTGCATTATTTTAATTCAAACTAGTTTTAAAAAATTTTTCAAAAATAGTAATTTTTTTAAGGCATTGAGAAATGATGTCCTCTTCGCATTTTTTTATTTTCCTATTTTTTCAAAAATTTTTGTTTAGAGTGAAATTTTTAGTATAGTTTTTTGTTTAATTATAAAAATTCAATGACATTTTTTTTAAAAGAACTACATCACTTTAAAGTGTAATTTATCATATGCAATATTTCTAAAAAATATAGGTATGATATTTGAAAAAAACTTTAAAATTTATGAAGTTACAAAATGTTATACTTAGAAATGGTAATTTTAAATTTAATCATTTGATATCAATATTAAACAGTATAAAGCAAAGATTTGAATAAATGAAGGGAATAATTAGTTTAAATGAATAAAATAGTACCTTTTGTAAAAAAGCAACCATATTTAAATGTTTCAAATACAACGTAGAATATTTTTTAATTTATTGTCTTGGTGTTTTAAATAATAATCAAAGAATAATCAATGAAGCTTATAATAATATGGTTTTACAACATAATTTATTAGCAAATAAGTATTTATTCTATGGAAATTAATTTTCTTCTTGAATTTTACAGATTTTTAATTACGAAATATTATTTTTTTATTACAAGTTTGATGTAATATTAATGGTGTATTGTTGTGGAGTTCCATGAAAAGGGTCAACAAACATTTAATTAATAATTCTATAATTAGTTTAATTTAACGAATTAAACCTAAAAAAATTTTACTGAAAATTACATATCCTAAAATGAAATTTAATTTAGCATTTAACATAAAAATTCAATATTTATATTATATACATAATAAATATATACATTACATAATAAAAAGTTATATACATAATAAAAAAGCAACTCTATCTGGCTAATAGGGCTGTCTATGGGCTGAGAAGATTTTTTAAATCTAATGTTCTTTATAGAAAAACAAAGTTCTAAATTTACAAAACTCTTGTCAGGTTGGTTTTGACATATGCTTCTGAAGTTTGGACAATGACAAAACTGGAAGAAAATTGTATCACAATATTTGAGAAAAATATTTTACAGAGTATATTTGATGGTGTAAATAAAAACAATAACTAGACATTTAACCTTAAACTGTTCACGATTTATAAACATCCTGATATTATTAAATACATAAAAATAAATAGAATGAATTGGATGGCCCATGTGATTCGAATGAGTGATGACTAGGACTGGGTTATAAATCGATGCATCGCGAAATATCGATTTAATGCATATATCGGCAGGCCGATATAATGACTTTCGTTTTAGGTGATGCATCAGAAATTTGGGTGAAAAAATTTGTTAATTTTCAACACTTGCCAAACTTGCAAAAAAAATTTTTTGTACTTTCTGTTAATGGAAAATAGTTATTTGAACCGTTCTATGTAAGCCCTCAAAATTTCAGATCGATTTGATTTTTTTTTGACGAAGTTATAGAATTTTGAAAAACATGTGTACTTTTCTCGATTTTTGAGCATTCCACATATGCAGTCTTTTGGTCTATACATCTTCTGCCAAAGAACTTTTTAATTTTAATGTTTTCTATATTTTCAAATAATTAATATTTATTATAAAACAAATATTCTTATTTATTATTGTAATTATTATTATAACAAAGAATTTATTATGAATGCAATTAAAACAATATCTCATAGATGTCACTGTACACGATTGTACACAATGTGCTGGTTCATTGAATAGTAGAAGTTTAACAAACTATACTTTATTTAACAATTGTAAATAATCAAACCAAAATCATTACACTATTACAATGGTAGCCAGGACTGGCTCAAACAAGAGTTCAAGAGCAACTGACTAGTTTGAAACAACTACAACAAATGACGTTTCGCTTAAAACCGAACTAATTGACTAATTCTTCTACTATTAAATTATTTTATTTGAAGCAACATTATAAATATGTCTCCTAGAAAATAAATATCAACTGAAAAACGTGCAGCTATAATATCTTTAAGAAAATCAGGTCACACTATAGACAAAATCCCTGCATTGGAAAACGTTTCATTACCATGCGTTTATTCTACAATTAAAAGGTTCAATGAAACAGGACTCTACGTTGATCGTACACGTTCCGGAAGGCCAAAGCTTACATCAAATCGAGATGATCGAAAAATTATTGTTACAAGTTTAAAAAATAGATTCGATACACTTGCACAACTGAAGTGTAAATTATTCCCAGGTTCAGAAAAAGTTTCAACTTCAACGTATGTTAAATTAAATGTATGCTAAATTTTAAGAAAAATATATAATTTAAAATTTTTAGAAAATTTAATAAAAAAAATTATCTTTAATGAATGACTCACTCACTGCCTTACTTTGGAAACAAGACATCAATGAATGCATCAGCTCATAAATTAAATAAGATAGTGCAACTATCTTTACCACACCTCAAGATTAAACACATGCGAACTATTTATATTAGCTGCTAAAAACATTGCTCTACATAGTTTGTCTAAAGTAAGAATTCCTACAGCCATTTTCTGGGCCCGTGGAGGTGACTATGGTAACGAGATCTAACTACTTCAAGAAGGGGTGTCGGGTTGTTGTGTCGAACAGGTTTTGGATAGAAAGAAAGGCAATCTTTTTCTTTGCCCTAGAATGAAGAGAAGCTACCCTCCCTAAAATGCGCTATTCTTGGTTCCATAGCAGTAGATGGCCACAGAATTTGTGGCAGGAGGAGTTCTTACCGTAGACAAACTATACCTATGTTTAACGTGTTAACCAATAATCATAACAAATACAAACTGGTTTTACAAGTCCTCCACGAAGGAAAATTTCTTCCAATACTCGATCCAGGAGTTTTCTTGCCTTCTGGATTGGAGTTCAAAATTACAAGGCTACGGAGTTGAACATTAGTAGTCGTAAATCCAAAAATTGGGTCGGCTGTTCAACGACGGTTATAATTTTTTTTAAAAAAACTGGTTTAAAGTAATGGCCACTTATTTATCCAAACAGTAAAACATATTATAAAATAAAATAATGAACATGTTGCATTAAATTTTATAAGAAAAAATTACATCTTTATCAACTAGTGTGAATTAGAATTGTGATAGGATACACTAAACATCAAAAACACTTATTGCATTCAAAACATTTAAAAACTAAATAAATAAATATCTAACTATACTTTTCATCACATTTAATTTAAAATATTTGCTCAATACCAATTGAAATCTTGAAATTTTAAGATTATTTTAATAAGTTTTAAAATGCATGAGTAAATAGGAAATGAATTGCATATAAACTCAAAGAATAACTTTATCCTTAAATCTCATAACAGTTTTGAGTCATTTGTAAAAAGCAGCTATTTCTTTTAAATATATCGTAAAAAAGAAAATTCCAGAAATTACAGCTTGATTAACTGTCATTGTCTTAGTTGTTTAACAATGTTTCCGCAAAACTACCTTGCAATGTTTGGTTTTAGACTAACTAAAACAGAAAGGATAAAACCAACCATTTTAAAACACTTTGATCAGCATTTAATAATAATTTAAATAATGCATGGTTAATTTTGTGTTACAGTTTATTGCTACTCAATAATTATGTAATGCTTAACTTTTACAAAGTCTAAAAATGAGGCTGAGATAGCCTGGTTGGTAGGGCACTGGGCCCATTCCCAAGACTTCGTGGGTTCAATTCCCGGTGGCCGAAGACTCTCTGTGTAGTAGATGGTGATTGATGCATGTTAAATCTGTTGAGTCGACAAGTCCTCCATGTTCCCATAATAAATCAATACATCTGGAGGTACTGGATTGGAGATTATTATATGTATTATTATTAAGAATATTAACATGTTTCATTAGAGCTTTGTTGTAAATAAATAAAAATATATGATTTAAATTTAAAAAAAATCTGACTTAAAAAATATACATACTGTG